AGGTGGTCCAAGTAAATGTTTTCTATATTTAAATAATTTTGTGAAATGCGGAGTGAAAAAGTTTTAAGTTGTTTTTATGATTTGTCTTCACTGCATGTCTTAGCAGAGTTTAATATGCTACTCTACACTGTGACAGTTCCTGGTGGTTTAAAATAACAGACCCCTTCCAGTCCACGCAGCGGAGCATCTCTGGAGGTGACGTTCTGCGGATCACAGTTAGGGAAACCCTGAGAGGAGCTTCCTGAGGTCTGGGCCCAGCTTTCTCCTCAGCCCTCGACGCTCTGCTGCTGTGTCATCACAGCCCCCGAGTTTCCTCGTGTCAGCCTCTTCAGGGCTCAATTCTAAATTATAAGCTGCTGCCAGATTGATACTTCTAAAACCTGGCTCTGCTCATTTTACCCTCCTGCTTGTGAGTGAACCTGAATTTCCCTGCCTCTTCATACTAAAATAATTCCAGATGGGCAAAGATCTAAGTGTTAAAAAAAGAAAGAAAAAAAAAAAACCCACCACAAAATCAGTGTGTGTGTGTGGGGGACCATTGCTGAATTAATTCCGAATCGTGTGAGAAAATTGCTCTAAGCAGGATATTACACTATAAAGCCATAAATAAAACCTTGGTAAATTTGACTAAACAAAAATTAAAATAATATATTACCAGAAATAACGTTAAGTCTAAACAAATCGTGACAAGATTTACAGTCAGCAGCTGATTTCTGTAATGAAGGGCTCTTTTAAATCTGTAAGCACAAGGCAAGCCGGGAGCCCTTCATGGGCATTTCCTAAGAGTTCTAATATTAAAAATTCCCACTGAGTAGGATGACTTATGAATTCCAAGATGGTTCTACAAGGATGCTTATTGCAGGGTTGCTTGTACAAGTTCAAAAAGAATTGGAAATGTTGTAAATATTCATTATTTAGTGACCAGTTAAATAGATTGACACACTACAATGAAAATTTATTCAGTTAAAAAAAAAAGTGTGTCTCCACGGCTGGTGTGAACAGAGAGCTCCAAGGTATGTTAATTGTGGAAGCATACGATCCGTTAAAAACAATTCCTATATTTTTATCCTGTAAAATGCCCAAGAAACTATTGATGGCAGGTACCTTAGACAAATGTGAATCAGGGAGAAGTGCTAGGCTGGAAATCTAACTATTCATTTCATCCTTTTCAGAGTTGTGAGTATATTTTTCTTTCCTTTTTTCTTTTTTTCTCTTCTTTTTCTCTTTCTCCTCGAGAAAAGGAAAGTCGTACTCTGTCACCTGGGGTTGAATGCTGTGGCATCATCATAGCTCACAGCAACATCAAAGTCTTGTGTTCAAGTGATCCTTTTGCCTCAGCCTCCCAAGTGACTGGGACCACAGGCACCCACCACAATGCCCAGTTAGTTTTTTTCTTATTTTTAGTTGAGATGATGTATCTCTCTTGTTCAGACTGATCTCAAACTCCTGGCTCAAGCAATCCCCCTGCCTTGGCCTCCTAGAGGGCCAGGCTTATACATGTGACCACTACATCTGACCTGTACATTACTTAAAATAATAATAATAATTAATAAAGTAATACAGGACAGGAAAATAATACAACTGTATTTCTTACAGAATAACAGCTAAGTTTTTTTTTTTTTTTTTTTTTTTTTTTTTTTTTTTTCGGGTTCTTTGTTTTTTGCTTTGACCTTGGTTTTTAACTTTTTTTTTTTTTTTTTTTTTTTTTTTTTTTTGAGACAGAGCCTCAAGCTGTCCCCCTGGGTAGAGTGCCGTGGCATTACAGCTCACAGCAACCTCCAACTCCTGGGCTCAAGCGAGTCTCCTGCCTCCGCCTCCCAAGTAGCTGGGACCACAGACGCCCGCCACAACGCCTGGCTTTTTTTTTTTTTTTATTTGGTTGCAGCCATCATAGTTGTTTGGCGGGCCCGGGCTGGGGATTCGAACCCGCCACCTTAGGTGTACGTGGCTGGCGCCTTAGCCGGTTGAGCTATAGGCGCCGAGCCTAAACTTTATTTTCTATTCTATTTTTGTCCCTTAATCTCTGGGAGATTGAAGTGCTTGCTTGCTCTGACACCACTGTAGTCCTTTGGTGGGGGGGGGGTCTCCTTCTCTCCCAACCTCTCAGCATCAGCGCCTCCTACTGGAATGGAATGGAATGACCTTGCTCCCACCCCCCCACCCCGCCCCCCGTGTTCTGATCCACCCATCTGCAGTACTCCCTCGCAGATCCCCCAGCTGGAGCTGATCTCTCCCACCTGTGAGCCCCCCCAGCTCCCAAGCTCAGTTCTGTTTGTCCCCCTCCCTCTCAGACCTTGTGTTGCGTTTATGGGATGCCACTGCCCATTGGGAGCAGAGTGCACAGCACAGAGCCGTGCTTGGAAAGGGCTGTTTGTGCCATGTTATTAATAGCGTGCCTGACAGGCCCAGTGTCAAGAGACGACCCGGGCATGGGCATAAGCATGGACTGTCACACGCGGTTGTTAGGAGGGGGAGCCAGAGTAGCTTTTGCAGGCCCCATGACTGACTGTTAGTATGCGTCAGCATGTAGTTCAACCAGGGTGTATTCAGGACAGAGCAGGATACTGGATACTGGGGCCATCGATTCTTTATGCATGATAGTCTCAGCCTGAGGTCGTGTCCCTCTGTCAGGTCCACATGGCAGAGTCGGTGGCAGCCCCGGGATGGGAGGCGTCCTTCCTCTCTGGGCTCCTGGCTGCTTTCCCCTCCCCGAGCACCGGCTACCACAAGAGCCCCATTGTGTGCCAAGCTCCCGGTGGAAAAGGTTAAAGTCCACCCATTCAGGTGTCATCTCATCATTTGTATAATCTGGGAGTTGCATTCCTGAGCAGCTGACCCCCTTTCAGAACCTGCCTAGTTGAGATGTCACTTCCCTGACAGTCAGGCACTTAGGCTTAGAGAGAGATCACAATGTGCCCCCCCACCCCCTTTCTCAAATTTTCCCTAACAATTAACGCCGTACTCACTTGACACCCTCTTTCCTTGTTTGGCTTTGTAAACCCTGGTCCCTTTTTCTATTAATTCCAGACATTAATATTTTCTTGCACGCCACTGCCGCCATTCACCCGTGAAACAGTTTGAACATTATGTAGCTGTCAAGATGCCTGGGGATTACCCAGCATGCCTTGCCTGTGAGAAAGTGACACTGCCGGGGCCGAGTTTGAGATGTTTATTTTGAGAGTAGGCTGACAAGCATGAAGGCCTGATCCCAGAGTGGCAATTTCATTTAATTAAAGGCCTCTTTTTATTATAGTTTCCCCCCACTTTATATATATGTGTGTGTGTATATATATGTTTATATATATAAAAGTCTGAGTGACTGTTGAAGTCTGATTGGCCACAGGTGTTCCCTTCCACTGTAAAGGGAGGGAGTGGGCAGATTGCTGGCTCACTGGTGAACGTCCCACTGAAGGGCTCGAAATGCATTTATCTTCACTGCCCCTCTCAGAATTCCCGAGGAACATGGTGCATGTGTGTGCGTCCAAATTTTAAGACTGCTGGATGTCTAACCCCATGTTGCCAAACTTAGAATGTGAGCGTTAGATATGTGTATATTTGTATTTTATTTAATTTCTTTGTTTAAAGTTCATACGCTACCACTCCTGGGAGGCTTACTCACTGTGCCTGAGTTGATCTGTTAAGGCTTTCAGACAGTGGTCATTGCACTTTCTGGTGATGATAATTCCAGGTCATGGGCGATGATTCATTCATCTTTCAGTAATTTGCAGGACTGATGCTAAAGAAAAACACAAAGGAGCTGGAGAAAATGAAAGACTGAAGAGGTTTAGTGTTTCGGTAAATATTGGTGACAGAGTGGCTTAATTAATTTTTGATATCATATTCTTAGACTATATCAGCTTGACTTGAATATGAGAAATTCATTTCTGTGAATCTTCTGGGGGTCTGTCTTGGGCACTGTCCAGGGCACTGGGGATGCATCAGTGGACAGCATAGATGGCTCATCCCTGTTTATGTGTCCACAGTGCTATGTCTCAAAGTTAATGGGGACGTGTAACATCGTAACTCCCCAGATTAGGCTGTTTGCTTTCTTTGGAGCATTACCAGCTGGCCTTCATTTCTCCCCCACTGCTGTGTATTCATTTGTGCCTCCCCTGCTCCCCGCTTACTGGGCGTTAATGAACAGGCAGGTCCCGGGCCCCGTATGACGATGCACACATGTGTGTAACACACAAGCGCACTACCTAATTCCTGTGTCATGTTTGTGGGTGTTTTTTGCTTCCATTGATCTAGAAAGTGTGGAGGCGGGTTTGCCATCGGTCCTTCTTTTTGCTCTGGGCGTAGCGGCTGGAGGGACATTATTCATTTCTTTTGGCATCTCTTTCAAAGCGCTCAGGGAGGAGCCGGGCAGGTCAGCGGTGTCAGCTCTGAGGCCGGCCCAGGGCCCGGCTGATGTGTGCAGTTCAGCTGGAGGGGGCGAGAGAATGTTCCCTGCTCTAGTGCAGGTGCAGGGGGACAGCAAAGAAAGGCAACTTCGTCGCTTTAATCTCTACACCCCCATTCTCAGTCTTCGCCCCCTCCTGCCATCTTTTGAGGCAGTGAGTCCAGAGATTGATTTATTGTGAGGTATTTTCGAGTACAGGATTCTGTTGAATCAGCCATCTGGCTAAATGTTTGAAACTGGTTTCTTTCCCTTTTCACTGACTGGCGGCCACTCCTAAGTGGGGCGGGCTTCTCCCCAGGACTTCTGACATTGTTGGCTGGTGCTGGTGGATTTTATTTCTTGAAATCTTTCTGAGTGGAGGTGACCTGCCCACAATGAAACAAAACAGACAAAGCTCAAGGAGTCCGTTTATATTCTACCACTGAAGGCAAAAAAAAAAAGAATCATTCACTTATCCCAAATGGCTTCCCTTCTCCCTCTCTCCTCGCACCTCTGAGGCCTTAGATCTCTGTGCAGGGAGACATTAGTCTGTTTAATGGAGACCCCAGGCTTTTAGGTGATTTTTAAAATTTAGCTCTGTTCTCCTTTTCTTTTAAAGGTACAAGTGACCCCTATGTGAAATTTAAGCTGAATGGGAAGACGCTATACAAAAGTAAAGTCATCTATAAGAACTTGAACCCAGTTTGGGATGAGATAGTTGTACTACCAATACAAAGCCTCGATCAGAAGCTGCGTGTGAAGGTAATCACAGATGGCTTTCAGATCTGCTTCTTATTAAAAACATTTCTCAGCAGTTATTTATGCCCTCTTAAAATGTGAACTTGAGTAAATTCTTTTATTCTGTAGGACTAGGTTATTACAAATATTAATATAGAAGGAATGCTTTATACGGTTTGTCAAAACCGTCTGTTTTTCTCAAATCAGTGAGATAAGCTCTCCTAAAAATCAGAGTGAAAATGATATCTCCATTGACTGTATTTAAATTTACTGAACGTGGAAGAATTATTACTGGTGGTGCACTGGTGACAAGTGCTAAAGCCTTTCTCATTAGGGATAACTTTATACTTAATAGAGCTTTAAGCTACTGGTTGTAAGCATCAATTGCTCCAACATCTGGATTAAAACTGCATGAGTTGAGTGCCGAATGGGATTGCCATGGAATATGTAGCAAATTTCTATTTAATTGGCAGATCTGCTGACTGTGGAAAATACTAAATTTTAATGAGAGGCCATTTAAACTACAGAGAGTGGTCCATTGTCCATAGCATTTTAATGCAAAGAAGTAATGCCTTACAAGTATTTTTTCGCTTGGCCATAGTAGGCAACATAGACAGATTGAATAATTTTGTCCTGAATATAGGCTTGGCTAAATTTCTCTTCGTGCTGTGCAAAGTATTTCAAGGGCTGCAGGATTGATTTCAAAATTCCCAGCCTATTGCATTTGTTGATAATTTGATAAACTGTTGGTTTTCCATATTCATGCTTTCCTGACCTCTGTCCGCTTGTAGGTATATGATCGGGATTTAACCACATCTGACTTCATGGGTTCTGCGTTTATCCTTCTCAGTGATCTTGAGCTTAACAGGTACTGTACTGTGACCTAGTAACTGTTACTAGAGCCTTGTAGAGGGAACTCAAGATAATGTTTACACAGTGCTCGTACAAAGCAAATGACCAAAAACAACATCTCCAAATGAATGAAAGCATGCTTTGCAGTGTTGTTATAACTCTCAATATGTTTTCTAAGATTTTTGCTTTTCAGGTGCCAAATATATTAGTCAGATGTTAAATATTTTATAATGTATTCTAAAACGTGGATGGGATTTTGTACTGTCATTTGTTAATATTCAGTTTCACTAACCTGACTTAAAATTAAAACAAGTATTTAAATTTTATCTGGACTATAGGACAGGGGGATCAGTTAACTAACTGTTGAATTAAACAATGCCAAATGGTTTCTCTGCCTGAATCCGTCTGGTTTATTTTCATTAAATTTGGTGCTTTTTTAGCCTTGTATTTAAGAAGCCTTGTATTTATTCAGAAGTCGGAGACTTTTACCTTAAGCTCCTGCTGCCTTGGGAGAACTATCCAGGGTTATTCGTGAGACTTAAAATTGTTTGTTGCCTTTTATTTGTAGAACAACTGAACGTATTTTAAAATTGGAAGATCCAAACAGTTTGGAAGATGACATGGGAGTGATTGTCTTAAAGTTGAACCTCGTAGTAAAACAGGGTGATTTCAAGAGACACGTAAGTGTGTGATCTTTTGTTCTTTTTAAACTCTTCCTTACAACTGTCGTTCGATTGCTGGACTAGCAGACAACTGACATTTTTATAATTATTATGGGAGGAAACAAATACTTTTATAGAGACTTCATACAGTACCTATCTGTGCTATGCACATCCTCTCTTTTAAAAAGAAAATCCGTTAAGGAATTATCTCCATTTTAGCTAGGGATGTGGTTATAATAGCTATTACGAAAATTTACATGCCGCTTATGGTTTGCTGATAATAGATCATTTAAAATATATGTTTTCTAAGTGTTAAGGCTTCTAGTTAATATTTTTTTAAGGTCCTAGATGACTGGGGCCTTATTCAGTTACAAAAAGCATTTCCAGGACTCAATTACTGCCTTGTATATTATCGAGGTTCTTAAATGTCCATCTCCAGCATTCTGCTTTCTTATTTTTTTCTTTTTCACTTTTTTCTAGCAAGTTTTCCACTGGGATGCTTCCAGAAAGCTACAAATTTTAATGTTCTCTGATCTATTACGTGGAAATTTCTAGCTAATATGCTACTTCTTGGAGACATCTATAACAGCTTTCTAGTTAATACACTATTTCTTGAAGACACTGAGTAGTAGTGAAGGATTTGATTTTGTCATAAGATGGTCAGACTCTGTTCTCATGAGCAAAAATGTGGATACAAATCAATCTTTAGGAATTTTACCTTGTAATTCCAATAATTAAAATGACAACATAAAGGATCTTTGATCATAACTTATTTAAAATGTGCTTTTAAAGTCAACTAAAATACCTCTTTGAAAAAGTATGTGATGCATTATAATTCAGCACAGAATCCAGTATGAACATAGGAAGCCCGTTTATAAACTAGTCTTCTAGTAATTCTTCCTGAATTGAGGCTGTGGGCCCGACGAGAACAGCCTGCATTTTGACAACGCTTACGCTTTGAATTGTAACTTGTTCCATGGTGAACATCCGAGTGATTTGCTGGTAAACTGACAGAAGTTCCCTAAAGAGGGAGGAAAACTGCAGTGTGGCTTTGCATTTGCCAAATGACCAAGAAAATAAATGTTGTTTTTAATTTGAATGCCTTCCCTATGTGAAATTACTTGATAGTAAATGAATAAAATAGTAGCACTATTAATATCTGAGACCATCATAACATGGACAGTTTGATGTTAAAATGTCTTCAACTGATGTTGAAAATTAATTTTTTCCCATCCTGTATGATAGAGGGATTTTTCTTTTTAGTCTTGACATTATTACCAACACATCTATACCTCTGGATTCATCGTCAATGGGTATACTAGGTGACCGGCTAGTGGAACTGGCTGCCAGGTCAAAATAACATGCAAGGCAAAAACGTGTCATTTGCCACAGGGTTGAACACCTGCCAGCTGATACATTCTAAAACGTCTTCTATATTTAAGTGGGGTTTGTAAAGCTGGATAATTTGCCCATGAAAATAACTGCCTATTTAAGTGACTGCCCTCGTGACGTTTTCTGTAGTGTATTAGGTTATTCTTAGCAGCAACATTGGCGCCATTAAATATATTTAAATATTTGCCGGCCTGTGGAGTTTTAAAGTCACACCATTTTACTCTCAGGTTATTTCCCATTGCAGAGTGATGAGTACTCGATGCAGCTTGGATTTGCTTTTGTAACACATCTCAAAGAGTATCTTTTCAGAGTCCAAAGAGTCGCTGCTGTTCTCAGCTTATTTAGTTGGAGTCCTCACCTGTGTGTTGACATCACTTAGCTCTGTGCAGACTGTCTGCTCACTCGTGTCTGCTCTTATTTTCTTTGTTCTTTGTCTGGCAGAGACCTAGTGTGCAATGTATTTATTTCATGTATACTTTTATGGGGATATTATAATATAGAAAACCCTACTTGTTCTCATTTGCTCTGATTGGTAGTTTTCTTTTTGTGTTTATGTCATATTCGATCAAACAAAACTGATAGAGGAGTACTTTATTCCGAGCTATGTGTGGCCGTTCACTTTAGTGGATAGTGTGGGCCCTTCGCGTAAAATAGATACCAGAAAACATTTGCTCTTTTCATTGAGTTTTATATGCTGGGATTTTAAGTGAGCTAGACTAGCACTTGAGACTGAAAAATCCATAAATTATTTAATTGAGATAATTTGTTTATTAATTTCCATTTTATTTTTTCCATTGTTATAATACCATACAAAATTGTTTCACTGCCTTAAAAAGAGCCCTGTGGTTTGCCTAGCCATTCCCTTTCCACTTAAACTATGATGGGGAGATTTCAGTTTAAATCCTCAGTTTTCTACCCATTTCTTTTCCATCACTGAGGCAGTGTTTGTTGCTTTGGAACCAAGTTGACAAAAATCTTAGCATGTGCAAAATGTGTATTAATTTATGATCACATTTAGGGATTTAAATGTATCTCAGCGTGGAGCGGGCAGAAGGGGAGACACTGGCTGACAAGCTTACTTTTTTTTTTTTTGATAAAAATAAGATTGTAGTTAAAATTATGTGCTCTGTCAGCTGGGGTTTGAATCCTAGTTGCACCAGTGATCTGGTGAAATTTACAGAAGAATTTAACTTAATCACCTGTAATTTCCTTATGTCCCAAATGGGACTACCCAGAGTGTCTGTCTGTTTTATCGGGTTGTGAAGACTGAGATTATCGAATGTGGTACTTGGAGCTGGGTAGAGACTCTGAATACATGATAGTTGGTGGCGTGGTAGTAGGTGAATAGTTAATAGTCATTTTCATTTCTTTATCTGTTTGTTTTGTATATAATAATTGAATAATTGTGAAAATTTAAAAGGTTTTTATATGTCAAAGGGCTCTAAATAGCCCTTTGCATCGTATAAGAAGGTAATCAGTTTGTTTTTGGTGAAAATACCTATCATTTTGTTGGGAAAACATTTAAAAATAAAACCACCAGGTTCTAATACCCAGGTGGTAGTACATGCAACTCTGCCACGTATGAATGTTAAACTCACGATTTCACCAGGGAAAGTGTTATGAATGGAGACTATTTCCCATTCATTTCTGCACCAATATTTCTAGTTACTAGTCAATGAAATGTAAGTGGATTTCCTCTGAAGACTGTATTTTCTGGTTTCAAATTTATTGAGGAAAGTTACCAGCAACGTGGAGAGGTTATTTACCTGAAGGTATTTTTTTCCCTAAGCATAATAGTAAATGTGGTGTGCTCAATTAGGTTCATATTGAGCTGTAATCTCCCCAGTGTATCCCAGTTGTAACAACTGGTTAGCTGGTTAACCAGCCAGAGTAGAGCTTTGTGATAATACCAAAGCGTGATAGGAGTGATGAGAGGATTTTGCTAGGGGAGAATTTGTAGGTGAAATTCAACAGCCTTAGCATCTCAAGTTCAAGATCAAAAAGGATCAGGGATGAAGTTTCTTGCTGCTCAGAAAATGTTTGCTTCCTTCTCTCAGTGCTGTATTAACCCATTTTTCTTAATTGTACAATAATGATTCAGATTTTTTTCCCTATGATTTTGAATATGGAGATTTAATCAGTGAAAATAATTGGAAGTCCTTTTTCTAGCATGGAAACGTAAACATAAACTAACATTGGTCAGGAATTTCGGAAATATTTTTGCAATAATCTCTGAACATTTCAAGTAGGAGAAGTCTTTCTGCCTTTCTTGGAGAGAGAAAATTATAGTGTTTTAAGGTAATTTAAAAAATATATTCCTGAGAATTGAACAGGGAGCCATTGCCTTTTCATACTGAATATTTGAGAAAATGATGTAACACAACTACTAATATCCACAATAGATATCTTTTTTTCTTTGGTTCTGGTTTTCTGCTTAACTGTGGTTTCTCTGTAATCACAGAGTGTGGGTGCTAGTTATCTGAATGTCATGTACACCATCTATTGTAATAGGATTACATTGCTAACGATTCTGTTACTCTCTGTTTCATTTTGCCATTTTCAAAACTCCGTGGACTCAATCCTCAGCGTTGGTCAAATCGGAAGCGGTTAAGTGCCAGTAAGGTAAGTATACTTGCTTTTTCTTTTGATCATTTGGTTAAAAACTTCATCTTTTAGCAAACACAAATGTATGCGCAATTGATGTTTTCTGACCTTTATATGTCATGGCATTTTTTTTCTTACTGCTGTTATGAATAGGAAGAAGACAACCTGCCTTTAAAAGTACTATTTAATATGGGGTGTAGCCAGATGTCTGAACTGACACTTGCTTTAGTGGTGACATTGTATATGTATTGGCCATGTTAGAATGTTACACTTCATTAAGCTTGGATTATTTAGAGCTTAGCATGGTTAGCTTTAGTCCTTTAGGAAGTTATTTACTCCTAGATGGAAACTAGCATTGGTGTTATAGGGGCAATGAAAAGATTAAGAGGAATGTGTGTTAAATTTCATGCCCCTTTTATAGGTTCTGAAAACACCATTTATTACATTTTTGGCAAAAGATACTTGAATGATTTCTTCATGAAGTGCTGGTGATTTTTTTACATTCTTAGTATCTTTTCAGCAATCCTATAATACTGTCTACTTTATAAAACAGTGTAGTAATGCATTATTAATTTACCAAGTTATTAAATTAGCACGTTGAAACTTAAATGATTGCATGTGAAAATTAGTGTAAAAATAAACCAAACAAGAATTTATAATTTAATTTAGCAGCCCTGCTACTTTTTAAAGAGAAAGGATCAATAAAAATTAATTGCTGTTATTTTTCAGACTCTTTTTTTTTCCAGTTCAGTTTCTGCAAAGCGGTGATGATAGTGGTGTGCGTCCTCAGAAGAGGATGCGTGAACCATCTCTGGACGTGCATACTCGCGCACACGCGTACAAGCTCAATTTTACAATCCTATTATACCTCGGGTGCTTATTTCCCTGTAAAATAGGGAGTTTGATACAAGGGACATCTCCAGCTCAATAGGGGTGCTTGTGTGTGAGAAAGAGACAGATTGATTCAGAGGGACAGTAGGAGACAGAGAGAGAGACTGAATTTTAATCTAATGGGTTCTAGTCGCCTAGGTAGAGAGACGAACTTTCCAAATCTTGCTTTTATAACCCCCCCAGGAATCAGAGTTCTGACTCATACTTACCAAAGTATTCATCTTTCCATTTTGAATACTTTAAAAGAGCTGCGATAAGATACCCTGTATCACTTGGTTCCCAAATTAAAAGATAATAAATACTGACATTGAGCTGTCTCAAAAATTCCTCCCACTTTTGCCTTATTCCTTTGTAGTCACTAGAGGGTAGAAGAACATCATTTCTCAGCAGAGAAGAGAGGCCCCACTCCGCTCCCGGATTAAGAGTTTCTGCTGTAACCACCCAGAGCAGTAAAGTCTCCCGGCATGCCTTGGTGAAGCCTGACAAAGCAGTATTTCCTCGTTTATTGATTCTGCTGCTGCACTAAAACACTGGTCCTGTACATCAATAACCATCTTTAGTTAGGGAGCTTTGGTCTGTGGAAGAGCACTGGCAGTTTGTGGAAGAACATAAAGGCTAGAAAGAAAAATTGTGAGCTTGGGGAATATGGGAGTCTGGGGAGGACAGGAGAGGTTATGGAAGAATGGCCCAAGGAATGAACAGGGATAGAAGAAATGTTGACGGCCCGGATAAAGATATCAAAAATATGAAGGGAACAGAGGATCCCAGAGAGCAGTATTTATGTGGATACTGCAGAGTTGTGTCTTGGAACGGAGCTGTTGTCAGTGTTGTGTGTTTTTTTTTTTTTTTTTTTTTCCCTCCCCATCATTGTTTCTAGAATTTTGACATCAGTGTACGGGGCTTAGGGTTGTGTTACATATGCCCAAACCTAGTATCTATGTTTAATAGAATCATAGATGAATAAAGTTCTTTGAAAGATATTTGTTATTGGATTTGAGACAGGCAAGTTCTGTATTGCTGAAGAATTGCCATTGTTATGTCGGCTTTTTGCTTTTGGGAAGAGGCAGTTTTAAAGAGAAAAGTGAATGGCTTCTAGTTTTGGTTTCTGAGAGTGAGTCACGTGGAAAGTTTATAGACACTGTGATTAACCCTTTTTAATAGTAGTCAAAATGTGCTGTTCAGTCTAGCTCTTGGTATTTCTAAACTGTGAGATTCCTTTGTATGATTTCTGTCTTATACTTAACATTATGTAATGGTTTGACATAAAGAAGATTACTTAGCTTAAGGAACTTATTCCATCTAAAATAGCACGGACTTTTTACCTCGATCTTTTTCTTATAATAACTTAACTTTATTTAGTTAATTTCTTCTTAACACTGTGACTTTATAATTTTGCACCATCCAAAAGGTTCCTGAACGGCGGAACCTTGGCACACTCTGCTTACTATCTAGGCCTAGACGCCAATGTAGTAAGTACATAGAAAGTGCCTTTGAAAACAGGTTTAGATTTCACCCAAGAGCATTTTAAAATGAGCATTTAAACACGGCTTGGGAATTTGATTTCGTAGGGCCTGGGCTGGATAACTACTTTTATTTGCTATTATTTAGTTGTATTTACTGTACAGAATTTTGATGTGAATAGATTTGTTTCCTACTTCTCTCTTTTCTGATACATGTGACAGTTATAGAGATTTAAAAGCAATTAACAGCAGTTACTTCCATCATATCAAATAGTCAAATGGAGGGGAAAAGCAGTTATAAAAATGGAGCTGATAAATCACCAGCTGTATTCGGGATGTTGACCCACATGTGTGCACACGTACTCCTCCCACCACCAACACACAACCCTGCTTTCCATTGGGGGGGATGTGTCAGTGCCGTGTCTGCTGACAGTGGCTCTTTAGTTATGAATTGTGTTTACTTTAGATGAGTCTTCATGGAGAGACGTGTGCACTCCTCCGGTGCCCATCTTTGCACCACTGTTTTCTGCCTCAGTGTGTCAGCAGTGTAAGAAAGGGAGAGGCGGGGCCTGTACCAGGGGCCTGTACCAGGGGCCTGTACCAGGGGCCTGTACCAGGGGCCTGTACCAGGGCACCACCGCTTCATTGCCCAACTGAAATCAGTTGGCTAGTGGTGCCAATCTGGGGCCATATTCTTGTTTCAGTTCTTCTTGGTTATTGCAGAGGCTGATCTCCGCAGGCTACATTTTTAGGTCCCCCATCAGCTGGCAGAGGAATTGACACAGGCTGGTTTGACAGGGGAGAACATAAATTGAAAGAGGATGGCCACAGACTTAGGGGGGAAGCTCCATTGCTCTGTGTGTCTGTCTGTCTCTCTATCTACCTACCTATCTATCTACCTATCCTAAATGAGCTGCTCTGTCACCAGAGCTCAGGTGGAAAGCAAGAAGTTTTAGGATTGCTTTGTGTATAGTTATACAGCTTTGGGTTGAAAAGGAGTTACTCAAACTAGAAGAGATGCCTCTCCTCCCACCTTCTGGGTGAATGCACGTCTCCCTGCACATCTTTCTGTAATTGAACACACATGTCTGTCTTCGGTGTAGGCCCCGGAAGGCAGTACAAGCAAAACCTTCATGCAAGAGGAGATAAGGCTCATTTAGACGGTATGGTTCCAATCAATAAAACGCATTTTGGTTTTCTCTTTTTCATTTTCACTCATTCTTAACTAAATTCAGAGCAATGCCTTTTACCTTTTTATTTTCTTGGCTAAACTCAAAGGGGTTAGAGAATCTCACACTTAAAACAGGCACATTTGGCTCGGCTCCTATAGCTCAACCGGCTAAGGCGCCAGCCACGTACACCTAAGGTGGCGGGTTCGAATCCCCAGCCCGGACCCGCCAAACAACAATGACGGCTGCAACCAAAAAATAGCCGGGCGTTGTGGCAGGCGCCTGTGGTCCCAGCTACTTAGGAGGTGGAGGCAGGAGACTCGCTTGAGCCCAGGAGTTGGAGGTTGCTGTGAGCTGTAATGCCGCGGCACTCTACCCAGGGGGACAGCTTGAGGCTCTGTCTCAAAAAAAAAAAAAAAAAAAACAGGCACATTTATCTGCATACCTGTCTCTGTCTGCCGGCCTTTCATGATCTAATGTTGCTCATCTGTATAACTTACGTCTGTATTATCTATTTCTAGCTACAGAAATTTATAAAATACTTAGGAAATATTTTTTACATGTTGGCCACCTTTTTTATTTTTAAATTTTAATGAAAATTTTGTAAATAAAGATACTTTTAGCTGCAATTTTCTCATTTTCCGTATGTAGGGTCATCTTTGGGATACCCTGCATTTTATCAGATTTTATCAGGTACATCTATCTGTCAATCAGTCAATGGAGATGTGGCACGGCACTGCTTCACTGCTGAATGTTTGAACCTCCATCCTTCTGCCTTGTTTATGAAGTCTAGGTCAGCATTAGCCTGAGAAGAATGACCTCTAGGTGGTTCCCTCTTTTCTGGAGCTTGCAGCCATGTGAAAGTGAGGCCACCAAGTTATTGGAACTATCAAAGCTGGTGTGCACCCTGAGGCCAGAGGAACAGAGGCACTGTCTTCCTTAACATGTCATTAGATCTCTCTCAGTTTTGCCCAAATACCACTCCTTGAGCACACACTCTTAAATGGTAGGAATTCTGGCCTTGGATACAAACAAGAATTAAGCTCTCAGAACTGAAGACTGGTAGGGGTTTTGAGGGTGTGCTGAGAGTCTCCTGGCCTTTGGAGGTGGGCAAGGTGAACTGAATGCTGGGCTCAGAGGAAGCTTTCAGAGAAAGAAGGCGAATCGTTAGTGAATCTGGAGTGAATCTTACCAAATGAGCAGGAAGAGGAAATGAATTGAAACATTTCAGGGTTAAATGATGTGGCATACAGCAAGAGCTCCAGATTTATTATAGGGCTCCAAACAATTAAGTTTTCAGGGTGTCCCCCCGAACCAGCAACAGCTAGAAATTGTTAGAAATGAAACTTCTTGGCCCCCATCTTAGACCTCTCCAATCAGAAACTCTGGGAATGAGGCCCAGCTGTCTTTTCAGAAGCTCCCTAGGTGATTCTCAAACATCTTTGAGTTTGAGAGCCACTGAAAGGACTAGAGGATGAAGGAGGATGCTGGGGGTGGG